TTACGGTTTTGCTTATATAGACAGAGGTATATCCTAGGAGTTCATGGACTAATCCTGCCTGCAATCTTGGAATTTTGTTTGAAGGAGAGATTTCTGTGTCTCTTGTTAAATGTGGCTTTTGGGGTCTCTTTCATCTCCTGGTAACTTCCATAAAAGCAGGGTTGGATCTTGCATGCTTTGTGGTACAAGTGGTCAAAATGCTTTCAGTGCCTGTTTTAAGGCGGGTTTGTTACCATCTCAATTTCTGCATGGAGCTGGTGTATCAGCAGCTCTGCCAGTGACCCTTGGTAGCTAGTGAAAGCTTTATGTCCAAATACTTGCCAAGACACTTAACTGGGCACAGTATTGTCTGGGTGGTTGGGTTCCAGTGCTTGTTAAACCTGATGGGATTTGCTGGTGAAGCCCAGGGCAATAAATCAGTGCAGTGTTTTCTCCATTGTAAACTATGAGAGAGCTGGTGTCACAACTGCTTACTCAGCACACAGGAGCCAAACCAGTGTGTAGTACAGAGACTGACCAGGGAAAACAAGTGTTGTGGTAGCAGCATTCAGCTCCCCATGCCAGTGGGCAATGGAGAAATGTTACTGATGTTAACCAGTATCTCAAAACTAACACTATGAAATTAGTGCTTAGCATCACAAAAATCTTGGAACAGCAGAGTAGAAAATTCAGTTTCTGAAGAAAGTGATCTCTTGCCTTTCTGTTCAGTATTGCTTAGAACAGAGTAAATCGGTTGGTTGAATTTTGTCTGGAGTCCAGGAGCACAGATTTGCAGCAAAATCCATGACACCCTATCCTGGATACATTTTTCAGCAATCCTAATGCTTACTAAATCACAAAAATTCACTTTATATACCATTATGACCTGCCCATCAGATGGGCAGTCTGTTCAAGTCCTTGATGGGGAGAAGTGTGCAGTGCTGCTGACACTGGCCTGTGTGTGCAGCACAGTTGATGGGTTGGCTGAGATGCTGCCGAGTACTGGCTCTGGCACTGCTTGGGTCCTGCTGTAATCCAGGCTGCCCTCCCACTGCTTGCTTGCACAGCTGGGATATGGGAATATCAATGACTTAAAAAAAAAATTAGGTGGGCTTGCTTGACCTACCAAAATTGTTGAAGAGATACCCACACCCACAAAAAGAGCTTTTTAGTGTGTAGCTGCTATCATACTTATTTGTTGGATTATTTTCTTCTAAGCCCCAAAATGGGGAAACTGCTGTGATAAGTGATTGGAATTTCCTCAGTACATTGTTCAAACTGTGACTGTTGGGCAGAGTTGTAATTTTCTATTTCTGTATGTCAGACAGCAATTGTGGCTTGTGCTAAGTTAGTATTATCATGCATATGGCTACTCATTGCCTGGACTGTGGGTGAGGGATCACGGGGTGCAGTGCAGGGGGGAGACCAGGGGGCAGAGGGGGCAGTCCAGGGCCCCTCTCCAACTCGTGGCCAATGGCTGCATTTGGTAGCCATGTGCCCCCTTCCCACCCGTCCTGCCCACACCCCTGTACTTATGGCGGTGGTGTGCAGGAACATGGGAAGATGCAAATGCAATATAGAACTTCCTTCTAAGCTGTGGGTTTTATGCTTTCTTCATGTTGTCTTCTGTCTAAGATCTCTTCTCCCTTCTTTCTCCTTTCTTTATTTTTTTTCTTTTTTTTTTTTTTTTTGAGGGGCTGGTGGGAGAGGAGTGTGTTGTCCTGCTTTGTCTTCCAGCTTTTATTATCACATTGTTCCTTGCAGGAGCTGTTGTCATTCCTGCCTTGCAGCTGAAACACAAGATCTCTGCTCCTCCTGAGCTTGTACTGCAGTTTCTTTCTATGTTTTGGGGAAATGCCTCTATTGCAGAGTTTTCTTCTTTCCCCACCACTGTATACTTACTTCCTCATCCTTTTTGTGTTTGGTTCCTCCCCCTCACCCCCTTCATTTCTTTACTGTAACTGCTACATCCTTTGGTTCACCTTTGCTAACTCATCTATTTGCTTTCTTCTCTTTTTTCATGTGTAACTGAATTTTTTTCTTACATCTGAGTTGTTGAGTCTCAAGTACCCAACATGCAGAGCCTGGGAGGGGGCAGTGGAAGGAGGTGGGCTCTGCTCTGACCGGGGAGCCAGCAGAGCTTCTGTATTGCGGGCGGTGGCATGCATCCTACACTAGCTGGGGGTTTCCAGCTACAGCTGTAGTGTGACAGAAGACTTGTCTCTTTGGATCATATTGTGGCAGTGATGGAAGTGAACCACTTGGTATTTTCTCCTCCAGCACACAAGAGACATGAAGAGAGGAAGTTTGTGTTTGAGTGCAGTTCTCTGCTTGTAAATGCTCGAGCTCTTGTTTATTTATCAGGATGGATAAATCCCTGTTGTGATGGCCTTTTCCCACTTGTGTTTGAGGTGATGCTGTCAGCAGCTGTGTTCTTGTTCCCTGTGGTCTTCTGAGAGCTGTCCTGCCTCCTGTCCAGGGCTTGGCAGAGGAGCTGTAGTAGATATAATTTTGCTACTGTCATTAGAATTTTGTCCTCTCTTGCTTTTAGCATTTTTGTGGTGAATTTTGATGAACTCAATAATCTTGTAAGATGCAAAATACTCCAAACCCCTAAAAGTCTGAAGTCAGGTTTGGTTTTCTTTCTTTGTCTCCTTTGTTTCTAGGTGCCTTTGTTGTCTGCTGGACGCCTGGCCTGGTCGTCTTACTGCTTGATGGTCTGAACTGTACCTACTGTGGGATTCAGAATGTTAAAAGATGGTTTCTTCTCCTGGCCCTGTTGAACTCTGTCATGAATCCAATAATTTATTCATACAAAGATGATGAGATGTGGGCTACCATGAAAAGGATGATTTTCTGCTCCTCTGAGGATAAGAGTCAGGACAGACGCTCATCTCGGATCCCCTCAACAGTTCTCTGCAGGAGCACGGATACCTCAGGGCACTACATTGAAGATGGCATTATTCAAGGAACAATCTGTGGAAAAGGAGATCTTGGTAACAAAGGAAACTCCTGAGCTATGCAAAGAACTGACTTGGCTGCAAAAGGAGAGGGGGAAGGGAGAGGTTTTGTAAGAGAAGATTGACTGGCAAAGCTAGTAAACAATATATCCACTTTGTTCCAGAGCCTCAACTCCAGTGTTAACAAAAGTTCTTATAAATAATTGCCTGATGGAAAAACACTTTGTAATGAAGAAAACTTTCTGTGCTGCCATCTTTCTCCTTTTTTTCTTTGAAGTACATGAAATTGTTTTTTCATGTGAACGGAATAAATACCTCTCTGAGACTTCTTGTGCATGGAAGCAAAACGTAAGCAATGTACTAAGACCCTCCTTAAGCTCCTACGGAGAAAATAAACCTGCCCGACTGCGCAGGTTTGGCATTCATTGAGTATTTATGCTTTGAACAGTTTCTGTGCATCTTGAGAAGGATTGTAGGCTAGGTTGGACAGAATCATGACCTGTTTTCTTGGTTTATGAAGTTCATGAAATAGTTCATGCTTACGTCCTTCTTCTTCCTCCGTATCTTGCTTTCAAAATATGTACTTTGATGGTTTATTAAAGCTATGCCAGAAACCTGGCTGTGATGGGATAGCCAGACCAGACATCAGAGTGTGTGAGTATGTCTGACCGTGGATTGTCAGGATCTGAGAGTACAGAAAGCACAAAAGCCATTATTACTTCCTTAGTGGGGTGAGTGCTGCAAGGGGAGATGTTGCACTCTCTGCTGCTGTTGTGTAGGAAGGTGTTGAGGGTGGATTAACAGAAAAGCAGTGAGGCTCATTATGCTCATTTCTTACTTCCTCAGATAATATCAAATGGGTGTGCTCACTCTTCTTTTACCTGCTGTGCCACTGAGAGAAATGAGATCCAAAACTCTGTTTTACAAGGGTGAACTTTTAAGGGAAGTTTAAATACACATATATACAGGTTCAATCAGCTACTTAAAATAGAAATTAATTTACAGGAAAAAAAAGCCTGAAACCAATTAAAACCCCTATAAGAGTACAGTATGCATTGGTTGTCAGACCTTGTCTGGACCACATTTAACCTCCAATTTGCAAACAGATCTTACTGGAATAGGTACTTGAGGAAGAGGCCATGAAACAGTGAGCAATGAAGGGCATTCAGCATTGTGACTAATCAAATCTAGCACTGGTGAAGCCACAACCCAAACAGCTGAAGTTCTGACTCATGGAATATGCTCTAAGGGAGGATCCAGCAATATAAAGCTCTAGGGTAAGCTTTTAAAATTTAAACTTTTAAATTAAAAATTGGATTGTAGATTTCTCAGTACTCTAAAAACCTGGCTCCTGCTGTCTGGTTTCAGCAGCAGTGAGCTCCCTGTCTTACTTTCAAAAGGAGTTACTTGACTTGCCTCCTAGAGAAAATGTGATCCATGGTAGTAAGGCAGGTGACCACAACCAGAGGTCACTTTGAAAAGTTTTGGAAATTTTGACCACTTGGAATTGCCCGAAAACAACACCAAGAGCGTATTGTATGAAGCTGAAAGATGAAAGTCAGCTGTGATTTGGACAAATTCCTCCTCTGGTGCAGCTTGAATGTGAATATCTGGACTGTGTGGGTCAAAAGAGAACCAGCACTTGGCACAAAGGCCAAGTAGTGGATTTGTAGAATGCACTGGGGGATATCATAGCAGCCCTTAGCTTACAAACACAGCAAGGCTCTGTTTGGAGAGCTCTCCCAAAACATGCATTATCTCATAGGGATGTGGCCCAGTATTAAAGGTAGATGCTGTATTTGAGTAATGCTAAAAACCTTTACATGTTTTTTGCCATTATAATGCAATTTTCTTGTGCAAATACTACTTCACTGCTTTGGTGTTTTGAAAAGTATGTAAAATGGTGCTTTGTAGTGGCAGTGGTGTGGTGGGTTGACTCTGGCTGGAGACCAGGTGCCCACCAAGGCTGCTCCCTCACTCCTCTCTTCACTGGACAGGAGAGAGAAAATATAAAAAAAGGACAAGGAGAGACTTATCACTAATTACAGAACTTGGCTTGGGGCAAAATTAAATTATTACTAATCAAATCAGAGTAGTATAATGAGAAATAAAACCAAATCTTAAAAATACTTTCCTCCCAGCCCTCCCTTCTTCCCAGGCTTACCTTTACTCCTGATCTTCACTATCTTCATCCCACAATGATGCAGGGGGACAGAGAATGTATCAGTTCATCAGTCTCTGCCACTTCTTCCTCCTCAGGGTGAGGATTCCTCACACTCCTGCCCTGCTCCATTGTGGGACCCCTCTCACAGTTCTCCATGAACTTCTCCAACGTGAGTTCTTCCCACAGGCTGCAGTTCTTCACAAACCGCTCCAGTGTGGCTCCCTGCCATGGGATGCAGTCTTTCAGAACAGGCTGTTCTAGTGTGAGTTCCCTGTGGGATCACAAGTCCTGACATCAAACCTGCTCCAGCATGGGCTTTCCATGTGATCACAGCCTCCTCTGGGCATTCCCCTGCTCCAGAATGGGCTCCTCCACAGGCTGTAGGTAGCTATCTGCTCCACCATGGGGCTCCACAGCAGGGGCATGGCTGTCTCACCATAGTTTGCACCACAGGCTCCAGGGCAATCTCTGCTCTGGTGTGTGGAGCACCTTTTCTGCCTCCTTCCTCACTGACCTTGGTGTTGACACTGTGGTTTCTCTCCTCTCTGCAGCTGCAGTTGCACAAGTTTTTTTCACCTGTCTTAAATACGTTATCCCAGAGGTGCTACCACTGCTGCTGTTGGACTCAGCTTTGGCCAGTGGTGGGTCTGTCTTGGAGCCGGCTGGCATTGGCTCTGTCAGGAACAGGGGAAGCTTCTAATGTCTTCTCACAAAAGCCACCACTGTAGCCCTCTCTGCTACCAAAAGCTTGCCATGCAAACCCAACACAGGTGGCATTGCCAGGGTGTAGCATGTCTCTACAGCTACCTGCAGTGTACAGTTTGTCTTAGCTAGGCTGAAGCTCTGTATGCAAAGCTAATGGAAAATAAAATGCTGCTTCAAAATAAAATTCTTGTTTTGTTTCCTGTTTGAATGGTGATTGAATACCATTGGTGGGGGAATGTTGTTTCATGTTACCATGGTGTGGGGGTAGGAGTGGGGGATGTTTTAATAACGTTTTCATGTTTACTAGCAATACTAAGCAGTGTATAATGTGGTCGAATCAGGCCCTGAAGAGAACTTGGATGAAGATCTTGAACATCTGCAGCAGTAAACACTAGGTCTCTCCTGCAGAGCTTGGGATTCAGGCTGCACAATAACTACATGTGGATGATTTTTCCAGGTAAGCAGGAAAAGGTGACTTCTGTAAAGAACCTTATTTGTAGAGCACTTCTACTCCTGGTCTGGATTAAAGTCTGAGAGGTATTACCAATCATTCTGCTATAAGTAAGTGGGAGGGTTTGAGGTCTCTTTCTGTTGTCTCATTTAAAAAAAAAAAAATCCCAACAAACAAACAAAAAAACGCAACCAAAAAACCCCCTCCAAAAGTCCCAACAAAACTTGCAAACTGGTGCTTGGAGAATGGTACCATTTGCAGTGGCATGCCCTTTGTTTCTGCAGGATGCTTCCCTTGGAGCTGCTACCTCATGGTCTACTGCTATAAATTGCAGTGTGACATGACTGGAACAGGAAACTGATCTTGCATCAAACTTTCCTAGGAACTGCTACAGCACAGACTGTATAATGTTTCCTATATCAAACTGTCTAAACATTCACCTGCTCTCTTAGCGGGGAATTCCTTATTAACTCCATAAACATTTATCAGAATAGTTTGTCTCAAGGAAACCATTAAAGTACTATTTATACTTGAGTTAAAAAAAAAAAAAAAGGCAAACATCAATTGGTGAAAGCAAGTTCTGTAGGGTTTCCCTGTTCCTTTTTTCACTAATATCTCATAATATCAGTATCTACTGGCTTTGCATGTGCCTGATCCTATTTATGTATGTCAGTGTACATCGTATGGGGGAAGGCTTTAGGGTGAACACTCACAGAAATACGAGGACATTAGGAGGCAGAGGAAGGCAAGGGAAGAGTTACCATTAAGTTAGATAGTTACAAGGTTTTGTGTGTTCCTGCTGATGCTGGAGGCCTTTCTTGTGCCTGAGAGAGCCTTGTGAGCTGCTGCATTGCAGCAAGTAGCAGGCAGATACTTCTAAGACATCTTCATAGGAATTATGGTTTGAAAACCTTTGTGATATTCTCCTGTTTTTTTCTCTCTCCATCTGCTCCCAAACCAAAGTTGCTTTTCCAGTTGATCATTCGGTCCAGGAAGAAACGCTCCACAGCTTTTCCCAGGGCAAAGATGTATGGTCTGTCCTCTGTGGTTTGCTCTCCCATAAAGCCTGTGTGGTCACAATCATTACAGATGCTTTTCAGAGAACTATTATTAAAAGCTGGGAACAATGAGGTTTTATTTTACATGATAGATCTTTTGAATCTTTCTGGATAAGCAGCTAGACTGATCATTGTTTAATAGCTGTGTGCGTGGGAGAGAAGTTTCCCTAATATCTGTGCTGTCAGTTTGACCTGGGTGATGTGGGTGATGAGTCCCTCTGGGAGAGCAGCCAAATTGCTACAGCTTGAGTGACTCTAGAGCATGGGTTTTGCACTGCTTTGGGGCTGCTTTACTTTCCTTATGTATGGGTTTTTTTACAAGTTTGGGGTTTTTTTAGTAATTCCAGCAGACTGGTGCAATACATCAGTATTTGTGCATATGACAGCTTGTGCATGTATTTGAGCTGCAAAAATTATGGCAGCTGTGTGATATGATGGTGCCTTTCTCTGATCAGATCCTTATTTTATATATATTTGTACTTTTCTTTTAAACTTAAAACTCTCTTCCAAGTAACCATTAACTGTAGGGGCGGTACTTCTGATATGATTTGCACAGTTTTGGTGAATTCTGCATGGAGATTCTAAGATACTGGTTATTGTAAAATAATGGAGGAAGGATCATTTTACACTTGTTGTATTTCTTATGTTCTTCCCCTGTGGTTCTGGCTATTGGCCACTGTCCTAGCAGATGCAGTGCAGGATCAGCCTTTGGTTTGGCCCCAACTGCTGCTTGAAAGATTAGAGCAAAAAAGTAAAAATATACGAAAACGTTAAAAAGAAGAAGGCAGGGAAATTCTGTTATTTGTCCTAGCCTATAATTCTAATTAAATCACTCGATCACTAATTGATCCCACTTTCCCCTGTGCGCCTACTCCTCCTTATTCTGGTGCAGCCATTTGTGAGACTAAATGGTGAACTGCAGTAGGTCTGAAAAATAACCCTGGATGATACACATCGCTAGTAACTACAGAAGATTTTCCAGTTGTTATGAGCCAGCAGCTCCATTATTTCCTCTTCTTGCTATCTGGAGTCATACAGATTACTTGTCTTCTAGAAATCTTTGTAAAACTGTCCTCCTTAAATGCTACACTTTGCAGTGACTAGGCATGCTTCTATCATGGGAAAAGAAAAAAAAAATCTGGAAATGAGGAATTAGGTCATAATAGTTTACCCTCACCCCCAAGATCTTTTGAAAGATAGGGAATTTAGATACTTATAAACTTTGACCCATTCTCAAGACATCTGGCCTATCTTTCAAGTAGCAATTGATCCCTTCTTTTGTACACATTTTTATAATATTGATAGTGCTTTTTCATTGCAGTAGGCAGAAGCATCTGGTTTTTTCCAGCCTATTTAGAAGTGCTACTTTGCAGCTCATAGGTATTTTATTTTTAATTGTCTTGTATGTGCATTCATGCATTTCCTCCTCTATGTGTTGAAATAAATTAATTTTCAAACTAACCTCTGCTGTATTTAGCACAGACAACTATGTTAGGGACAGCTCTTTCTTCTGAACTAGTCTTTTCTATAATCCCAATCATGCATTTAGGGTTCTGATATATGGCACTATAAGAATGTCAACGTGCAAAATAAAAAAAGCACATCACTTATTAATTGTTCTCAGCAATAGCTGTGTTTTAGCTTAACTGTTAATTTCACTGAAACCATAGATATGGTCTAACTTCTCTAAAAAAGCCAAAAGGTATAAACAAATACTCCCATTAAAAAAAACTATGGCAAAACAAACAACGCCCGCATCTCCAAAAAACTCCAAAGGAAACCTAACATTGTGCATATCTGTAGGCCAGGAGTAAGTCAGCACACTTACCATCCCTGACTTTAGTTCACCTGACTTGCTTTGAGATATATGAAAATATGGAAGTCTTGTTTCTGAGCACAGATAATTGCCTGGGGGTTTGGTGGGTGATCCCTGGGAATGTGCTTCTCATCTAGAGAGGTTCTTTAGCTTTTCTCCTAAAGCCGCTGTGGAAGGAGATGGGATACACATAATTGTTGTCTCACCTGTTATTGCATTTCCTATGTATAATAGTTAAGAATATATATCTACTGTGTTGTCCCTAAATGTTAAGATTCTTTTGCATATGCTAGACTTTCCCAGTACTGTAGCACTAATTTTATCTCCAGGTTCCATTTGTATTTATGCAAACAAATGCTTGGTGTGTTGGCTTTACTTAGATTTCTATGAGGACTATGTTCAGTTGCTAAAGGATGTCAAAATGCATGGAAGTGAAAAGGCTTTACCTCCAGAGATGGAAATGTTATTAATGCTTAAATGATTCTATTCAAATCCCAGTTAATGCATCAGTTGTTATGAATGTTACTGTATTTGTTCATGCAGTGCACTCTGTGATACTGGGCTGGGATTTTCCCACAGGTACAAATGAGTTAATTTAATTAGAAACATAAGGTTTTCTGCCTATAGGGATACAAGGCCCATGGACTGTGAACTTGCATTAGCTCACCCCCAAGCTTAGCTTTAACTTTCTGCACAGTTATGTTGCTTTCAGCAGACCCTTTTCTGTGAAAGGAGCCCTGTGTGTGTTGGCATTTGTGAGGTGAAGAATTTAATGTCATAGTTTAGATGGTAAGTTTCTGCTATATGGGAAACTGTCCCTATAGCAAGAGGCACAGCAGCAGCAGGCTGGCTGCCTAAATACACCAGCCTCTCACAGACACAATTACTGATTTTATAGAGGAAACATTTGTACCCATAAGCACAAATTTCCAATGTTGGATTATGTCCCAAATTTGACCTATGTTGTTTTGTCTTATTTTCTCCTTTAGAATCTCTGCACAGTCCATGTAATTTTTTGTGTGTTCTGCTTTGTTCTTCAAAGCACAGATTTCTCTAAACAAATAAATTCCAGCAATATTGGGTCCTAGAGGAACCCTTCAATTTCACAGGCCAGAGAACCACAAAATGAAATAAATATGGTTGAACAGAGATTTTAGTCTTGGGTTCTTGCAAGGTCAGAATACCAACAATAAAAAAAATAGTTAAGTTTGCATGTATTAGTTCAAAATGTTGGAGAATAATACTTTGGCAGAAGAAAAGTAAGCTTATGACTGATTTTTGCAGTTAAAAAAACTGAGTAGGGAGTTCTAAACTGTTGATTTGTGAGTTTTCTGAACAGCAGAAGCATAGAAATCTGTTTTCTGATTGACTTCTCTGAACTGGAGAGAAGCTGCTGTGGGCATTCAGCTCCTTCCCAGCACGAGGGGATCCAGGCAGGAGGGTGATCTCCTGAACCCCTTCCCCTGGCAAAGTTCCTGCCCGCATTTTTGTCTCCACGGGTACAAGGAGCTTTGCTGATTCACAGAAACTAAGCCAAGCCCAAGGATGGAGGAATTTCTGCAGAACACAATGCAAGCTCTGGCTGGAGACTTTCTGGTAAGTGCTTATGACCCCTGTCCCCAGTGGTGGCTGAGGTTGCCCCACAGTCCTTTCTTCTACAGAGGCAGGAGCAGACTCTCTATCCTAATGTTTATTTTCCCCAAACCTGTTGGTAAGGCAACACCTTTAGATCTTTTCCTCTCTGCCAAGTTTTATTGAAAGTGACTGATGAATTCAGAAATTATGAGGGACTACTCAGGCAAAAAGGGATACAGCTGCCCATGCCTCATTCTTTTCAGGAATTAGGATAAAAGTGTTCTCTGGTTCAAGCTCTGTAAGTCATGGATGCAATTTTATGCTTGCCTGTAAAGGACTCTCAGGAAGAGGATGAAGGCAATCCCCAAAGCTGCTTCCCAGCAAATCCTCAGCATCCTGATATTCTGCTACTTCTGTACCTCTAATCTCACTCAGTCAGTACCAGGAAAATACCAGAATCTGCCATCTTTATCCATTTTATAGTCAGCAGAATTGTTAAGGAATTACTGAGGTGAAGTAGCTTTGACTCCTTCTCTCTGCAGGAGTATGAATATGGCTTGTGGTTCTCCAAAAGGTAGCAGGATGACTTGCAGAGCTGTGAGTCCATCTGTAAACACAGTTATAAGAGAAGGAAAATCAGGCTCCTGTGCTCGCTCAGCCTGTGTATGGTCTGCTTAATTTGTGATGACTGAGGTTCAGAGGTTTTGCAAATGACTTGAGGATTTACTTCTGTGTGACCCTGAGACCTTTGTGTGCAGTGGGAGTGGTTCAAATGAGCTGGGAGATCACAGGTAGATTGACATGAGGGAGTCTCCGGGGATGCAGATAGTCACAGGAGACTTCCAGTGCAGAGGGCTACTCCTCTTTTTAACTAAACCTGATGCTACTGACTCTTCGTTGGGCTGCTCAGCTACTAGCTGTGGTTGTAAGCCCTTTTTGTCTGAATGGGATTGGGCCATCCCAGTGGTGTTGTGGGTGTTCACAGCCTCAGCTGTCACATTCAGGGGCAGCAGTACCAGGTACTGACACTCAGTGCCCTTACAAAAGGGTAGGAAGCTGAAAGGAATAGTAAGAGGTGACTACTCAGTGTCTCAAAGGATTTAAACCCAAATGACTTAGTGAGAAGGGATTCTCTGGTGGATGACAACTGACTTCTCTCTCCTCATCTTCTCTTACCCTCTGTCCCTTCTCACCCTTTGCAACAGCAGTGTGAACTTTAGTGTTGAAGTCTGAAGAGCTTTTAACCAATGAAGGCAAACATTGATTAGAAGAGGTGCCAGGGATGAGATAACACCAGGATTTGGTATAAGCAGTTCATCCTCCCCTGCGGCAGTCAGACCGAATATTTTGACTTGCTACAATAATTTCCTGTGGGCTGATAACCACTGATTCGATAAAAATGGTAGTAACAGGCTCCATCAGGAGCTGTCCTGAAGGGCTGTTGATTCATTTAATCCCACAATAAAGATTGAGTGAGCTGTTATTTCAAAAGCAAGCTGGATCCAGCATGTATTTGTATCAACATGCCAAAGATGACACAACTGCTGCCTCACCCAGCCCAGCAAAGTGGGGTTTTGCTAATGCTTTATTTGGTCTCCATGTTTGGCTGGGAGACAAACAACTCTCTTGTGATGTGTTGTTTCTATGAATAGTAAATTAAAAACATTCTCTGCGAGGGGGTGGCACTGCTGTGTTCTGTTCATTTGATTTCTGTGTACCTCCCATCTGCATAGGTTCTAGTGGGAGATGCCACTGTGAGGATAAGGACCTTGGACTTCCTGAGATGCCACAGTGACTGAGGCTGCCTGTCCACCAAATGCAGCTGGGAACTCCTTACAGTTCTTGCCACATTTTGGAAGTGGTGAGGAGAGATGGTACCTGGCTTCTCTGAAGGAGTCCCGATGATCCCGGTCAGTCAATGTGCAGCATCTGATTCCCACCTGAATGTGGACTCCTCACAGGTTCCACGTCACTGCTTTCCTTGGAGAGCCCACAGGCACACAGGCATCTTTCCAATTATGGGGTTTAAATTTTTGGCCCTTTAGTTTTTAAGGAATGTTTTTGACATTTTCAAAGTTGAAGCAACTGGAGCTTTCTTTCATCTAGGAGTGAAGTTGACTCAGCTCTGATTTACCCACTTTTATTTAAAGACCATGACTACTACTTCTAAAATGTTACTCATGTAACTATGTTATTACATTATCTGTAATGTTATTACATTATCTGCTTTTCCATCTGTTAAATGCCATGGTTCCAGCACCAAAAATACCACTGTCTGACAGTAGCAGCTGTCAAAGGTCTATTTAGGCATCTTTAAAAAATAGTAAAACCTGATACCACTAAATATAAACCAAGTTTTATTATTATAAAGTTTTCTTTGGATGTGGTTTTAGAAATGTTACTATTTATAGCACCTCTGGAATTTTACTTCTGATAGTAGGGAGATTGTACTTATCTATAATTTTAAGTATAATTATTTGCTTATTGTTGGTTTAAATAATGTTATTTTTTATAACTCACATACAAATATATAACCATCTGTGTGAATCTACCCTCAGCATTCTGCGTGGCTGCTTCCCAACTCTGTTGGAACAGCACCTATGACCAACCTGCTTCACACAGGATAAAAATCTATCACATGGACCATACCCATGTCCCATCTTCTAGGTAACCCCCATGACCTCATGACAAATCAAAAGTCTAATTATAAGCATAGCTTATGAAGCAGGAGATGCCCTGAACCAAGTCCTGGGTATCACTTAGAAGTGTAAAACTACAATTCTGTAGTGAATAGTGCACTTAAATGTGATTGATAATTGGAACAACAAGTTAAATGAACCTTGTTTATAATAATTGAGTAGATCTGAAGACTTCTCAAAGCCAGGTGTCCCATTATTAAGCACCATCTTATGGACTCTATTTCCTTCAGGAATGTCACAGCCTTGGCTGGGCATGAACAACCAACCAAAGAGGTTGTGCAACCCTGCAGCTCCACAGTGCTGCACACAGACAAGCTGTGTGTCTGCAAGAGGCCTGGGCACCCTGTCCCTGGTCCTGGCTGCTCTTACACGTCTGTCCCTGTGGGCTCAGCACCTGCTGGTCCTTCAGCCCATCTGGAAAATTGCTGAAGAGCACAGCTCTTCCAGTCACAGCCCAGCAGGAACAAGGGCGATAATGTATTGGCCACCAGCTGTTCTTGGGGTTAGGTCTGTCTCACGAGTAGTCACAGAAGTGAGTGGTGCCTATGGCAGCTCCTGGTCCTGTGAGAGCTGGAAGACATAGCGGCAGCACTGGTAGGTCTGCTGGCATTTCATGGGCATCTCCCTGCTCAAGATCGTGGATGTCTTAAAAAAATGCACTGGAGAAATGAATATTTTAGGGCTAAAACCAGAGAGGGGAGGGGGTTCTGCTGGGGCCTGGGATCTTCCTGGTGGCAACAACTGCAATCTGCTGCCAGGTAAGGCATATTTTTTATGTGGATGTTTTTTTCTCTGACAGTGCACCCTCGGTGCTGCCATGGGGCAGCTGGCAGGAGCCACCCTGGGAGGTGGCACGGCACGTTCCCTGCATGGTACACAGCACTCCTGGGGCTCCCCACCCCCGTCACCTGGAGCCTGCTGGGGCCTTGGTGGCACCATTGTGTTGTGCCTGCTGGCCACGTGCCACCCTGAGGGGTCCCTCATCACCCTGGGGACTTTGCATGCAGTGCTGATCCTGCCCAGCCCTTGGAAGCCCCTCACGAGGGACTGGGCATGGGGGGTGATGGGGTGGTTTAGGGAGAGGGCAGGCAGAGGAGTGTAAAGATGGGGCTGTTGATAAAGTCCAACCACCAAACCGGTCTGGAACTGTGTGATTTGGCACACTGCAGGGAGGTGTAGCTAACAACACAAAAGATGAATAATTGCAGGTCATGGCATTCATTCTCCGAATTTAAAAATTATTAAGCTCCTGGTGAGGGCAGGCAGCTGCAGGTTCAGGCTGCCCTCGTCCCCCTGGCCATGGTTAACATGGCACTGACACCTGGCTGGCAAGCAGGCACCTCTCTTCCTCCAGCAGCACCCTCCACCCAGAGCAGGGCTGTCACAGGGCCTCGCTGTGCCCCCTCCTGCCCTTGGGCTTCGGAGGGGACTGTGCATGACATGAATGCCAAGGGTGGTTCTACTGCTGCTCAGTTCTCAAACCTGATCAGCAGATGCGATGTAAAGCTGTGACATGGGGGTAAGTCACAGCCACCACACATGCCTGTCTCAAGAAAGTGGTAATGAAAGGGGCAGGGAGGGTGAACATTGACTCCAAACAGGTATGGCCAGCCTGGTGCTTTGTTCTGCTGCTGTCTTGAGTCATGTCCCAGGGAAGTTTCTGTAATGTTGATAAAGGGGATAGTAAAAATAAAAGGTCTGGTTTCCAACTATAAAACTGTAAACTATATAAAACTATTATCAGGATTGTCTTATCTAATTTTACATTCTCTCTCAGTGCTTGCAAGGTACCACATGTGCCCTTGAAAAAGAAACAGTAGCTACTGTGAGATCTTCCAGAAGGCTTGGATTGAATAGGAAATCCCGAGGATGCTGCTAATAAGTGTAAAAATGTTGACTTTGGAATTGCTGCTGTATGTTTCGAGCTAAGAGTCTGTGTGAGTTTTGCTGTCAATCCTCAGGGACAATGCTTTGGTACAGTTAATGTGGCACTTCAAAGCCTGAATCTTGTAAGCAGGAGGTTGAAGCTAAAACAGGAGCAAATTAAACCACCAGTGTTTGCTAAATGGTTCTTTCCTCTGATTGCTGATGGTCTTTTAGTCCCTTCCCTGTTGGAGTCTAAATGTCTACCATCTCCTCTCACAGTTGTGGCATTGCTGGCCCAGGAAAATTAATTATTTTCTTTTGTCTTCCAATTGCTTTGTTTTTTTCCATTTCACTAAACAGCCCTTTGAGAACCCCCTCACTGGCTGTGTGTATCTGCTTTTCATGTGCCTTTGCTGCAAAGCTTGCAGAGGTGCCTCTCCAGCCAAAAAAATCCCAACCAAACAAACAAGCAAACAAACAAAAACCCACAGACGTAATCAAGTGCAAAAATAGAAAGTGCTATCACAAAACCAAACCATTGAAACATACTGGGTCACAAACCAGATATAAACCACTAGTGCTCGGGTGTTGCCAGCAGAGAAAAAAATAAAAGTTTTGTTTTAAGATCTGTTAATGGGATGATTGCACCAGCAGCATGGGGGCTCCACAGTGGGAGGTCACATTCAGGACACTGGGCTCAACTTTCGGGACAAACTGGGAGGTCTCCAGAGGACAGCAACACACCTGGCAGTTGCAGAAAATATGACCACTGATGAAACTCTGAAGGAATCGAGCTGAGCACTAGACCTTTCTCACTGGAGAGGATAAGCACTGTTACTGAGTGTTAAAGAGAAGAGATGGTATGGTTAGATATATTGATTTAGACAGAATAATCTTAGGTTTCTTCCAGTGCTGTGTTATGGGACCTTCCTGTGTTATTGCAGATGCCCAAATGGGGCTTTAAAATTTTCATCCTACTTGTTTTACAGGATGAGTTGGGAGGAAGGCAGGCTGGCAGCTACAGCACAAGCCCTTACAACCACTGTTCCCAGATCCCACTTCTGGTTCCACTGCTCGCCCTGAAGAGTGTTATCTGAAGGTAAGAGTCCTATGATTCCTGTCCTTCTTAAAAGGGTTAAAAGCTAAACTCTTTCCTGAAGCAGACTGAGATCTGTGTAAGTGGGACTAAAGATCTGCAAAGCAAAATTATGTTGCTGTTAAGGCAGCAGGAAGGATAAACTATCCTGGCTCATAATATAAATATTTGCAGTGACAAACAGGGGCAAGAGTAACTGGAGAAAAATTTGGAAGACTCATGCTGTTACTGTTGTTTTTTGAAGTTTGCTGTCCTGCAATACCTTTTAAATAATTCTGTGGCAACCGTGGCACAACAAACCCCACATCCCCTTCCACTCAGTTACTTAGACCAGCACTGAAATGGAGGTTGGTCCCTAAGTCTCTCTGGCTGCCAGCGTTTTAGCCAAAGCTCAAGTCTGGAGGAGCTGGGTCCTGCTTCTTTCTTTGCCTAATTTAAGAAAATAAAAATAAAATAAAAGATGTTATGGAAATTAATACCAGTCAGTTACCTGGTTTATTATTAAAAGATAGCTCTGAGCATCTGAGAGCTAGGCCACTCAGTAATTAAAAAACATCTCAGAACCATGAAGGAAGCTGTGCCCTACACACTCTCATTTCAGACAGAACAATCACAGAAAACAGATACTAAAAATAGCAGACATGGGGTTAATGAGCATGGGGTATATTGGGCACATTAGGGTACATTAGGAAATATTTTTTTATTTCCTTTTTCTTAATTTCTTTTTTTAATTATTATTATCTTTTATTTTATTTCATCTTCCACTAGCAAATCCACAAAATTTCAGCCGGTGAAAAATGCTCCTCACAATGTAACCCTGTGGATGGGCACTCTCCCCTTGCTGTTCTGACAGGGAGCCACCGAGCACCCCCAGCCCACCTGTCAGGTCTGAGTATCAGATATCCTAATATCCAACCTAAACCTCCCCTGGCAAGCTTTGCCCTTCCTCTTCCCCCAGTGCTGACAATAACCACACAAGGCACTAGGTAAGGCTCCAAGGGGGCATGTCCCAGTCAAAGTGACTCACCACAAGATAAGCAGGGGAAAAAAACCTAATAAAAGCACCAGATACCAGGACATTCTCTTGCTTCCAAGGCAAGATAGATCATCCCTTTAGGAAAAGGGAAAGAGGCAAGCATTGCTCAAGCAATGCACAACTTAGCAAGTGAGTTTAACAAATACCATCATGTTTTGTGTACCGAGGAAATAAAAGCCACTCTTTTTAACAGCTATCAGTGGAAGTTACTGGCTGGTCACAGCAGCAAGCTTCCTGCAGCCTCCCATACTTACAGATTTATCAGAAGAAGCAGTTACAGGTTTCTTCACTTCAGAGCCCAGCCCCAAACTGGAAACTTCTTGTTACTGGTCCTGAGAGAGGCAATTGGAACTTTAGGTATTCAGCAAAGTGCCCCCCTCCCCTGAGTACTGGCTCACCTGCCTGAACACCTGCAGTGTTTATATCCCACCTCACTCCCTGCTTTGCAAATTCATACCAAATAAGAAATCTCCAAGCTCTTCCTCCAGCCCCAGCTGAGTTTCCTTCCCGGGAGGCAGCCCCGCCGTGCGGGACCTGCAGCTCTGCAGTTCGGTCACCAGGCGGTGACGGCGACCGCTGAGCGAGAAGGCACCGCGGATGGGCTGCACTGCCGGAACTGCTCACCACAGCGGCTTAGCCTGTGACTCACTAATTGAGCATCTGCTTCTTGGCACAGTATGCAGGGCTATAAAACCTATGACAAAACATGGAGGGAGACACATGCTTACGGGGTAAGCTAAATGGATTCTGTGTACAAGACACTGCTGGGTCTTAATCCAAGCTTGTACAGTCAATTAACACTCTGATCTCTGAATTTTGTTTCTGCAAATGCCACATTTTTCCATGCTCCTCCACTAAAACCACATAAACTCTATTATCTAGTGTTAGATATAGGGTTGTTTGAAGACACTGTTATGTCGTGGTTTAGGAATGGTACTCCCCATCTGGTGTTCCCACTGAAACCATCCACCACTCGCTCACTCCTTCCTTCCCCTTCCCTTCCTCTGTGGATGGAGAGGAGAATTGGAGGTACAAAAGGTAAAGATCATGGGCTGAGATAAGAACAATTTACTGGAAACAGCAATGACATAAGAAAACAAACAGTAACAGTATTAATGACAAAACTGTACAAGAAAGAGGAGAGTGGTACACATGTAAATGCTCACCAAAGAGCCTGACCCCACCCAACCAGAAGGAATCCCTGAACCCCTGCCCTGTCCTGGCCATGCCCCTCCTGGCTACTGCAAACACTAACCCTGTCCTGGCTGGAAGCAGGACATGTGAACATATGAGACTTCTCTTGAGCAGGTTCTTTGGAAAACCTACATTGACCTTGAAATTGAGCAAGGCGAGTAAAAGAAAACAAGAAACCTTTACTGCAAGTTACTTAGTGGATACAGCACATCAAGGTATCTGTGGGCACCCAGGACACAGAACTGGTCTTGAATCTGGTCCACAATGAGAAAAACCCTTGACTGCCTTGCTTGTATGGCTTCTTCAACTCAACAGTGAACAATTCAATCCTATGCCTGTGCCATGAAGAGAGGAAAGACTTTTCTCCAAGTTTCTTGGGTATTGTACAGTATTTTCACTGGTCATGAATAAATGCATTTAAAGAGTTTTTACCATGACTGATCTCAGGTACTTTGGTTTGAAAGAATACCAAGAAAACGACCACACAGGAGGTAATTCCATTTTAATAGTCTCTGAATTTCCAATATTTGAAAGGAAAAATAACAAAGTGTGACAGTATACAGCCATTACCTACAGAAGCAGTGTTAGTCAGCTTCTCAACTGTTTTTTGGTATTTCAAGGGAAAAACATTCAGCCTAAAATTTCTCATCTGTAAGTTCTTTGGAGGTTGGGGGGGACAGACCTGACACTTAGTAAGTTGCCTGAGAATCACAGCTTACAGTTACTCAATGTCTTCTGGCCTCACTGGATGAGGCAGAGGTATAACGGATTTCTTCTCTGTATCTCTGGAAAGAGCTTTCCTCATATCTGTGGCAAAAGGAAAAAATGCTATTATAGTTACAGTGGTCATTGTACAAAGCCATATGAAGTAAATTCTCTATTAAAATAAGATAATTTTTAATCAAGAAAATTTCCTAGAATCATAGAATACCTCAAGTTGGAAGGGACCCATAAGGATCCAACTCATGGGTTCACACAGGACTACCTAAAACTAAACCATATGGTTAAGAGCATTGTCCAGACTCTTCCTGAACTCTGATGGGCTTGGTGTCATGACCATTTCCCTGGAGAGCCTGTTATAGTTACCAACCACCCTCTCAGTGAAGAGCCTTTTCCTTACATCCTTCCCTGACTCAGCTTGGCTCCATCTCCTCATGTCCTATCACTGGTCACCAGAGAGAGTGATGCCCAGTTGAGGAAGGTTTAGACTGTGATGAGGGCACACCTCAGCCTTCTCTTCTTCAAGTGGAACAAGCCCATGGACATTAGCTGCTCCTCCTAAGTCCTGCCCTTGAGACCTTTCACCATCTTGGCTGCTCTCTTCTAGATCACTAATAATTTAATGTCCTTAACGTTGTTCAGCAGCAATGTTATCAACTGAAGTATAACACTGCATGAAACTTGACTGAATGGAAAGAAGTGGCAGGCTAAAGGGACAAATATATGATTTAAGGCACTTGCAACAACAGTAGATATATGTCAGTAGCCCTTATATTTCATAGTGATCCTACATATTGAACAAATAGTGCAAGAACAGAAATGACACACAGCATGGCCACGTAACCCTTTGGGAGAATACTTAAAAGAAAAAAAATATCTAGAATGAGGAAGCACTTTTGTTAACAGAATCAACATTAACATAGTTGAATTTCCATATTCCTTCCCTTTTACACTGAAAATGTTACCCAATTCTCTGCCACTGTGGGCCACTGACACTTGTAAATTTGTAGTTAGACGTCTGAGAAAAACAAAGTTCCAAGTCCCAGTTATGGGAAGAAAGCAGTTCCATTCCTTTTCATTTTTTATTCTTATTTTGTAGTTTATTTTGCCACAGATGCTACAAAATATGTAAACTGCAAGATTAGGTTTTTAACTGATGTAATCTTCAGTAGGAAAAGTTATCCAAAGGAGGATACGAAATCCCATTCATCAACAACAATCTGAAATTGTTTCATATACAAAAAAAAAAAATAGTCTTAAAAACAAGCCCAGGAAACCCTCAACATGAGAATCACTCCATTCAACTTGAGGCAGAACAAATACTTACCATAAGCATCTTCATCTGGCTCCCCACTGCTGGCAGAGTAGTACTCTAACACTGTCCGGTACACACTGTAGCCTAGTTGCTTATACATATTTACAGCAACCTGATTTGATACTCTCACAAAGAGATCAACAAAAAATCCACCCTTTCTTTAGCGGGGGGAGGAAAAAACAAACAAAGAAAAAAACACGTTAAGGAACAGTAGGCGAATGTATTTCTAAGTAACAACCCTTAAACTGTAATCATATCAAAGCAAGTCTGATGATGTAGTACACCAATCAAACATCTTTCACACTGTAATAACAGATGAACTCCTTTACCAACGGAAAATTCAAGCATAGGCATAGATTTAATTTTATTTTTGTCACACAGCCCTTCTATACCAGCCAGTGGCTTCAGAAATGTGAACAGAAAGAACAGGACAAGCTAAACAGCCACACAAGCTTCATATCCATGTGACATGATTTAAAAAAAAATCCACATTTTAGATTGCATTGGATTAGGAGGGATGGAATAAGTCACAAAAATTCACTTGCCTAAGGGGGGTAGTCCTTTACCTCACAAGGCAAATTTTTCAAAATATTGTATTATTTTCTGTTTTTACCAAGTGGAGTTGCCCTACTAGAATGAGTTAAGGACATTTCACTGTGGGTTCATTTGACATTAAATTAAATGTTCATAGATACAAGTAACCAAGAAAATGGAAAGTAAGATAAAAAAATAATTTTGGCGGCAGTACTAAACTTGTTCAAGGCTGTGCCTGAATGCATTGCACAAAGCTCACAGTTACTGAACAACTATGTTGTAGGCCCTGCAACAGGAAACACTGCTGATGTTTCACAAAGCTCTTTTCCTGTCAAGAAAATGGTCTTTTATACAGTATTGCTACTAGAATTCAGGCTATGTCCTACTCATTCTAGCTCAGAGAAATCACGAGATTTTAAACCACTAAGCAACTTTCATAATTCCTGTTCTCCAGCTATGAGGAATTTCAGAAAATCAGAACGCTGCTTACAGCAAAATTCAGTGTCAGTTTCATGCACATCAAATATGTGAGCCAGGGACAGGTGCCTGTAAGAATATTACTTTTAAAGATAAGTTTAAAGACAGGCATATTACTCACTTTTCTGAAATTTCTTCCAGCAGCTCCATCAATTTAGCGGCCAAACCCAGCCGTCGGAATTCTGGTGCAACAGAGAGAGCGGTAACGTGTCCGTGCCATTCTTCCCTAGCCACGGAGCCCTCGGCTTTCCCCATGACTGTGAACACACAGAGCATCAGCGCCTTGGGAGTAACACACCCCCTGCAACCACACAACTTCACAAGAGGAATAAGCCATGTATAAACAAACGTTGCAATGGTTGTGGTAAAGGCCCAAACAGGAATGTCTACCTTATCACTCTATGATTCAGCAACCACAGAGAATGTAATTTTGCTCAAGTATTACAGCAATTTCTTAACTAGTGTAAAGAAAAACAACTTTGCAAATTCCTTGCTTAAGGTGTGACTTCTAAATGTGAATTTTAAGCAATTCTCATGAGTCTTTCACTGAACAGAATTTAGGACTTGACTAAAATAACAGAGGAACAGAGGGCCAGAAGCTCAAAACTACCATCCCAGCAACGATTTGAGACTTTTGGATACTGTGGGGGAATTGAGCTCAGGAAGCTTTGCCAATCTGCCAACAGAAAGCCGAGGCCCTGCAAACACAGTATGTTTAAGGGGAAAAAAAAGGGGGGGGAGGGGGAGGCAGGGATGTTGTTTTAGGGTGCTTCTTTCTAGTTTCTCTCCTTTCTACAAAGGGTTAAACCAGTGTTAGTTCATGAATGAACATTCACACTTCCACACGATGCTCTTACAGATATCAGTCACTGCTAATAAGCAACTATTGTGGTGAGTACAGAGAAATGTTCTGTACAGCACATACTTTAAGCTTCACTGTGTTAAATAGTTTATTTCTTGGATCCCTGCAAAGATCTGCCGCCTGCCCCACCCCACCTCTTGGCAGCTCTCTCTGGCATGATTTCTGAAAAACACAAATATTCCACAGTAAATGAGCAAAGACATCCAGAACCAGAGTTTTCCCTTGCAGGACAATGCAAAAGCCAAGCCCAGCACGTTTACTAACTGTGTGTGATCAGGGCTGAGCACAGTGACTTGGATTCCAGGATTACGGAAACACCTATTCGCCTGTACCAAACCCGGGTGGGCGCTACCACAGCCAAGGCTCCTCGCTGCACTAGGAACGTCAAACTGGAAGCTGCTGCCGTGAGTCCCACGTAATACCCTCAGATGTTTATGAAACGGGAAGATGCAACGCAACCTTCCTCTTCCCTGGTCGGTAGAAAACGCGAAGAGTAGGAAAAGCTCCCGCGTTAAAATGCCCCAAATAGGCAATGAAGGGAGACGTTACCGCCGGAGCACCCGGCACTCACTGTAACCCATCAGCTCCCCGCCAGGCGCCTCGGCGACGATGAAGTACTCGGGCCAGTGGGCGAGGTACTGCAGGTAGAAGGGGATCCCGTACTGGGCGCTCGGTTAAGGAGCAACTGCGGCCGCCACGGCTGCGCCGCCCGCGCCCGGCCCCGCGCCCCCGCCCCGGCGGGAAGGATACGGTCTCGGTCAGCGGGTCCAGGTTACTGTAGGGGAGAGAGAGCGGCGCTCAGCGCGGGCCCGAGCCCGGGCCCGGCGGGGAGCACCGAGCACGCCGGAGGAAGGAGAAGCGTGCAGGGGCTCGGGGGAGGGACAGGGGCTCGGGGGCCGGGCGGCGCTCACATGTTGTTGAATCGAAAGAGGTCGTCGCAGGTGAAAGCGCGGAGCGTCGTCATGGCGGTGATCGCGGCGACGATGCTGCCGCTGACCCGGAAGCCACGGAAAGGCAGCGGAAGCGTCCCCGCCCCGCGGAACCGCCCCGCTCCTGGCCCGGCCCCCACACAGCCCGGCTCCCGGCTCCCACACAGCCCCGCTCCCGGCCCGGCCCCCACACAGCCCGGCTCCCGGCTCCCACACAGCCCCGCTCCCGGCCCGGCCCGGGACCTGCCGCCGCGGGCCGTGCCGGAGCGAGGCAGCGGAGGGGGCGTGGCCGGGAGAGTGGGCGTGTAGCTGGGAAAGCGATCTATGTTTTAGCCACTGAGTGCACAGGGTGCACATCTTGTACAGGTTATGCTTGTGTTTCCACAGATAAAGGACCGCGGTGGACGCCTGTGCGTTGCATACGACCTTACAGATCCAGACCCTCAGACCGACCCTCGGAAGAGGACCAGGAGAATGTTTTGTGGATACTGAGCAACGAATGTCCCTAAGACGTTGGTTTGGACTTGGGAGAAGTGGGGGCCCATTATTGGAATATGGATACAGTGTTTTTGATGAACTAGTGCTATTATACAAGAAACATACGGTTATTAGCCCTAGATTGGCAATATGACAGCCTAGAGAACTGGTGATTAGAAAAAGTTTTGCCTTCTGCCATACCCTGTATTGAATGTCATACCACCAGTCCTGGGTACTGTGTCAATGTAAGGCGTGTGACAAAAAGTGGTACTGTGCCTCTTCTCGAAGATGAGAATTTTGCAGAATTTGTGACCCACGAGAACGAGTGCTCCCACTTACAGAAGCTAACAGAGTAGCCTTAGTGAAAGAAAAGGCTGGTTCCTGATCAGTAGGAAGTACCTGAAGTACCTGAAGAGCAGTGGGAAAAGACAGTAAGAGCGTGCAAAAAAATTGCCTAAAAACATAGGTAATGATGAGCAAAGGGCAAGGTAGTCTACAGAAAACAATAAACATTGCTTTTCTTGCAATGCATTCAACCAGCTACAGACAAAGCATTAAAGGCTGTTTTAATTATAAACAAAGAAGGGGGAATTATGGAGGTGAACGGTGTCATGTCCCTCCGGCCCGGGACAATGGACATTGTTGCACTAGTTGGCAGAAAAGAGAAAAGATAAACTCCTTCAAGCTGGAATACATAATTACAGTCACACAATGAAGTGCTAAAAAAAAAATCAAGAAAGAATGATATTCAACTTTTTATTGATTTCCTGTTACTCACTTTCTAAACAAAAACTGATCAACAGTGTCAATACCACAGTAATTTACTGTTACAAAATTTACTGTGTAATTTACTGTGTTACAAAAATGCTCTGGTTGCCCAATTCTCCAGGGGCAGCAGACTTACACTGCCTATATTACATTAGATTACACACAATGACTCAGGAGTTAGAACCCTCCTTGACTAGGGAACAACAGGATTTCTGGATGCATGTTCAACAGTGCAAGTAGAGCTTGCCTATGCAGGACAAGTGGACCATCTGTTTCAAAGTGCTTTTTCTTAGGCAAGATCTTTTGTGTCAGATGTAAAAACTGTGGTAACAGATATATCATCTATAAAACACTCAATATTATATAACTTTTTTGGTCTCTAAAATAACTAAAACTATATAATTTACTGTCAAAAAGAATTGTGTTCTTCATAGAGGTAAATGCTTTTATTCCAGGTATGTTTTGGGGAAAAAAACCAAAAAGGATATGGTCTTCCACTAGTGAGTATAAATTAGACTAAGAATTAAAAATTTAAAACCATGTGAAAAGAAGTGTTTTCTAATACTATGGGAGAAAACCCAGAATCATCTTGCAGTTGTAAAAATCAGAGCAACAGCCTTTGTTACACATTACTGTTGCTCATCATTTTTTCCGGGTGCAGGACAACTGGCTTCATACTTTTTCTTCAGGCCTTTCAAATATATACGCAAACTGTCAGGGTCCAGTCGAGAGTTTCTGGCAGTCTGAACCAATCTCATTGCTAAATGGTACACAGCTCTCTGTTTCATCATCTCAGGAGTGCTCTTCTGCCTGTGCTGTTCTTAAAAATATACATACATTAAAATATGAAATAAATTATGTTCTATTATTAAAATACTAATATTAGCTATTTTCCAGCCTATTTTAGATCTCCCAATTCTGGGTTTGTATACAAACATTGCATCCAATACAGCTTTACCCTGAGAGCTGTCTTCTATTGTCACCTAACAGTGACCTTCAGTATAACCTTTTATAACTGATTCCAGAAATACAAGGCAGTGCTTATCCTGTATCCTTTCATAAACTGAAAATAAATTTGAGTTTTATAAAAACTGTGAATTACAGCATTACAATCTTCTACTACATACCAAAATTTGTTTTGCAATATGATTTGTGATTTCCTTAGCATCCAAAATTACAGATGATGGTAGGGAGGAAACTTCTGCAGCTTTTAGTCCTAAACATATAAAACATGAGTCAGGATTTTTGATGTAATTTTTACTTCTACCTTCCACATTATATCTTCCAGGATTAACTTAGCCTATTTTTTTAAAGGGTGAAGATTTAAATTTTATTAAAATAATTTTGGTACATTTTTTCTTAGTGTCCTTTTTTTGTTGTTGTTGTTAGTAACAATATGGCTTTGAGAGTTACAAAATAAAATATCTACTTTGTTGTAAAGCTACCTCTAAAATAAACCTCCACATGAAGTTACTGCTTGTAATACTATAACTGGGTAGAATGAGACACATTAGGGGTGAAAGGGAAAATAATGGCATGGTGGTGTTAAAAGCTTTCTTAGTTTAGTTTTTTAATTTGGCAGGCCAGAAAATACTGAGGTTGTGCTAAATGCACTCTCCATTAAATCCAGTGAATATGGATGTCATGTTCCAGTTTCTACTTTGTTGGTAATAGCCAAACTTCCAGATACTCAGGGTAAGAAAGAGATGTAAAGTATTTTTTGCGCCCTAACACGATTTTTTAACTGTTTCCTTTGTCTATGCCCCTGAATGTTCTGAGGAAAGCCTGTAGCTCATTGGGTGCTTTAACACTGTAGGGTTAAAAATGAAAAAGGGTCATGAAGAGCCCTTGCACTCTTTCTTAGAATGCAACTTTGCTCAAGTAAGCTAAAGCCAAGACACCAACACAGAGCTTCTAAAGGTCTCCTCTGAGAATACTCTCCAAACATACAATTCTTCTGAGTTAGTGGTCATGTAGCACCTAAAATTGAGCCTGTGCTGCCAAAGGTAAACAAACTTCTTCTGAAATTACAATTAAGAAATGTTTTAAGTCCAGCTAATTGAAGCTTGACTGGAATAATTTCTAGTCTTCTGTTACCACTAGCTTGCAAAAGTCATGTGTAGATAATGTAGGATTCAGCATCAGAATCTAGTATTTGGAAACATACAGATTTCTGTAAATCTTTAAAACATGTAGCTATGCCTTACTGTCACTCACTCCTTTATTGACCCATAATCCAATAGTGGCTCAACTCATTCAAACAGACATGAATCAAGTAGCTACTGACATTAGTAAAATGTTTTTTTCACTAAGAAATTACTTGTAAAGTCTTCATACTTCCCAAAACTACTGTCTTACTACATGGTTACTTAGAACACACAAGTATTTGGAACACACTAGAGATCTGCAGATCTCTGTATCTCTCTTTGATAAGAGAGAGATACAAACTCAGCAGAAACTGTCATCAAAAAAGTACTCTTCCATGCCTAATAAATGAAACAGTATTCCATAGCAGAATCCATTACCATAGTTCTTTTCCTCTGTGTATCCTTTAGAAAGTGTGTAAGTGTAGGCAATTTTCTCCTTATTCCCAGCACTGCTTCTCACATGTTGCACTTCAAAATGGTAATTTTCCACATTGGGATACAAAGCATCCATATGACACAGTTCCAGGAAATGTGTAGCAAACAGTGTAAATGCCTAAATAAGGAAATAAGAAAGAAAAATTATTTTGGAAATAATCCTGAAATAAATTACAATAAATAAGAAACATTAAATTATCTGACAGATGTCCAGGTCTTCCTCCAAACCACCGAAAAGCTATCTTCAAATTACTAAAGCAAATTAAAATCTTTAAGTGATGAGTTCTACCATTGGCAAGTATATCTTTTCCAACTGGGGATTCTCTTGCTCCTTTCTCAATAGGAGGAAAACAACAGAAGCAAAAGGAAATCCATTATGCTTACAAAATCTGACTAGTGTTAATTTGAATGATTGTCAAATGGTTGCTTAATACTCTCAAGGAATGCTTTACCAAAAGTATAAGTGACAGAAAATATCTGAGCTTTTCAAACCAAAAAGCCCACAAAGTACTCTGAATAAACTCTGAGGAAAAACAAACACCTGCACACTTACTTTAAAAAGCTAGCAGCAACCTGAGCTTGATCACATAACTAGTAATACTAGAGGTGAAACTTTCAACCCATCTAAAACCATAATCCCCTTTTTTAAATCCTTTAACCTCTGTGACCAGTTCAGAAGTTGTGTGGAACTACCACTGTTACTTTGAAAGGTAACCTCTAGGTGAAGAGGTTCACCTTTAACACTGAAGCATAAAGCTGTACTAAACAAAACTAAAGAGACTGGGTTATTCTCTTTCTTGACAAAAATACAAGCTCGCCAGCAAGTTGGAAAGATATGGTGACACAGTGTACTGGTTTTGGATGGACTAGTGTTAGTTTTCTTCATAGAAACTTGTGCTGTGCTATGTTTTGGACCAAGACAGTGCTGGTAACACAGCCAGGTTTTAGGTCCTGCTGAGCAGAACTTGCACAGCACCGAGGGCTGCTCTGCTCCTCACCCTGACCTGCCAGCGAGCAGGCTGGGGGTGCTCGAGGAGCTGGGAGGGGCATGGCCAGGATGGCTGACCCCAACTGTCCCTAGGGGTATCTCAGAGCATCCAACACTGCAATAAAAACTGCAAAGGAGGAGGAGAAGGGATGGACATTCAGAGTTATGGTACCAGTCGTGTAATGAAGCCCTGCTTTCCTGGAAATGGCTGAGCACCTGCCTGCCGATAGGAAGTGAGTTTCTTATTTTGCTTGTGCATGTAGCTTT